ATATCCTATATGAAAAGCATTTTAGGGGGCCCTTGGCTTTTGGGGGCCCAAGGCGGTTGCCTACCTTTGCCTAATGGGTAAGTCCGCCCCTGACAATGACAGTAGTCATTGACTTAGTAGTATTTTTTTTCCATACTGTGGAAATCAATGGCTACCGTCAACTGTTTGGTTAACAAAATTCTTCAGAAAAATCATCTTCTGTGTTCAACAGAAGAAAGAAACATTTCCTGTTGTTCATGATTTACTGGATAAGGATTTTTACTTTTTTTTTTCTGTAAATTTCAGAATCATAAAATGTTTTAGAGCTTGGCTAGAAACTAGAAAAATATATATTCTTTATACATATTTCAAAGGCTTTACTCTTTGTAAAAATTAAGTGTGTGTGTGCAGGAGGCAGAGGTGTGTAACCAGATCATTCTGGTGGAGGATGTTTTGGCCCGACTCTGTCAGAGCACTTATCCTCTAGCAACGCTGAAAACCCGTCCCCTTCCCCACGGCGTCGACCCGCTGAGACTCGAGATGTACCTGACCGACGAGGACTTTGAGGTAAAGCCAAACACTACAATGAGAGAGATCACCTGTGCATCTTGGGTTTGGTGTGAAAATAGAAAACAGATGCAAAACTGTTCATATTCCTGAATAATCTTTTAAGATTAAAAAAAAAAATTATTTGACAGGGACAATACAGAATAACATTAGTATACAGTGTTGAGCACCAGATGACAGCTTGATGTGGAAAAAAATGCAAATAACCAATTAGTAAAAAAAAAAAATCATAAGATTGATTCTGTTTAAGCCCATTTTTACTACTGTATATTGAATTTTTCGATTATTTTTCTTTTAAATTTAAATTGCCAAATAGAATTGACTGAGTAGGTTTCTCAGCCTGTGAATAGTTTCTTAAAGCATGATGTGACTAGATACTAAGAATGGATTGTTTTGCCGTTTTAGGCGGAGTTGTAGGGAATTCTGAGTGGGTAAGTATCTCAGATATGGACTGATATCACAGGGAGAGATACAGTACGTTTCTATGGCACTATTTCCTGACAGCCTCACTTTTATGCTTTATTTTCCTCCCTGTTTCTCGCTCACTTTGGACTTCTCTTGTCCAGCTGAATCCTGGAGAACTCTTTGAACAAACCACACAAACACACATGCATGCACAGTGCACACACAAACACAGTGTGAACAGATTTATCCTCACAAGCTTTTTTTCCAGCAATACTTCACATGTTTCTGAGAACATTTTACTGAGCACACTGTGTCATAACTAGGCGTGACATGATAAACATGTAATAAATCATATCTCTTCCACGTTAATGTCACACAGATAGTGATTTGCTGTGACAGAGCTACCAAAGGTCACTCGTTTTCAGTGAGATTTGGTAATTTAAGGAGACCGAGATGCACATTAAACCGCCAACTCTGATAAAATATGTACACTTGTGGTTTGTCTCAGTCCAACAAGACTGCATTTTGTCCATACTGTTTTTTCTTGAAATCTTTCTGTGGTCTTAATTTAGACAATCACAGTCAATGTGCATGTAAAGTCCACCAGTGGTTGGCAAACCAGTGGTCCCGCCCCAAATTCAGACCATTGGTTGAATAGATTGTTCAATCAATGATTGGCTTGCTTAAGTTGTGTCTGCACATTAAACTGTAATAAGCGAAATATTTTTAACACAATGTACATCATTTCTAGATTTCTGCACAAGCAGCAAGAAGGGTATGCTGAGTAGCCCTGCCCACTTTCAATTCTGATTGGTCCAAAGTCTCTCTCCTCTTATGTGTAAATGTCAGGTTTTTTTCTATTTGACTGATTTAAACAAGATGTGCCTAGCTAAGACACTGTTATTGTAGTGTTACTGTAAACCTGTTCTCCTTCCTTTTCTGCCAATTTAATATTGTGCAATCAGATTGTGTTGAAGTTTTTGCACATATACGCTACCGTTCAAAACAGTGGGGTCAGTAAGATTTTTTTTTTTTTAAGGAAATTATTACTTTTATTCAACAAGGATCTATTAAATTGATCAAAAGTAACTGTTCTTTTTAACTTTCTATAAAGACTGGAGTAATGATGCTGAAAATTCAGCTTTGCATCACAGGAATAAATTACATTTTAAAATATTTTCACATAGAAAGCAGATATTTTGCATTGTAATAATATGTGACCCTGGACCACAAAACCAGTCTTGAGTTGCACAGGGATATTTGTAGCAATAGCCAAAAATACATTGTATGGGTCAAAATTATAGATTTTTCTTTTATGCCAAAAATCATTAGGATATTAAGTAAAGATCATGTTCAATGAAGATATTTTGTAAATTTCCTACCATAAATATATCAAAACTTAATTTTTGATTAGTAATATGCATTGCTAAGAACTTCATTTGGACAACTTTAAAGGCGATTTTCTCAATATTTAGATTTTTTTGCACCCTCAGATTCCAGATATTCAAATAGTTGTATCTCAGCCAAATGTTGTCCTATCCTAACAAATGGAAAGCTTATTTATTCAGCTTTCAGATGATGTATAAATCTCAATTTTGAAAAATTTACACTTAAGACTCCAGGGTCACATATGTCAAAATATTACTGTTTTTTTCTGTGTTTTTGATCAAATGAATGAACCATCGGTGAGCATAAACTTATTTTAAAAACATTTTGAAAATCTTTCCAACTCCAACATTTTGAACGGTAGTCTATGTGTATTTATATTTCTGTGTGTTTCTCTCTTTTCACTCTATTTCACACTATTTTCTGTGTTCTCAGAGAGTATTAGACGTGAAGAGAGAAGAGTTTGACGCTCTGCCCGGATGGAAGCAAGTGAACCTAAAAAAAGACAAAGGACTCTTTTAAAAACCTGACTAATTATCACTGTCCATTTCCTCCATGGCCACCGGTTCTGCGCTCACCTCAGCATTTTGACCTCTTTCGGTTAAGGGAGGTGATTGTGCACTGAGAACAGGGTAAGCGGTCAGGTCAAAGGTCACTTTAGGGTCTTCAGATGCACCTGCTGTGGCGTCCGCTTTTGATGTATTTATAAAGTCTGTGGAGGTGATGTCTGTGTGTGTCTCCTCACCACATTCATGTATGACGATTCGCAGTCTGTGAGCAGTGCGTAAGTCCATGTAACCTCAAAAACAGTATGTTTAGTACATGAAATCAATCCACTCCTCTTCCCATTCGGTCTGATCTGCGATGGGTTTTTGTTGTAATGTGTGTTTATGTTTGATAAGTCTGCTGAATAATTGGAAATTGTATAAACTTTGTAGCAAACAAAGAAACGGCAGAAAATCCTGTGTGATCGCTCTAAATGTTGTCATATGTCTTAGAATATTCCTTTTTGATTCAAGAGGAGTTTACATGCTGCATCTGAATTTTTTGTGTGTTCTTCTAGTGTGAATGGCTGTTGGTTGTGTTGGTGCCGGTCTCTTTTTCTTGAGGTGTGAGAGACATCAAGTTTGTTTGTATTGGAACAGCATGGAATAGTGGACGAGAGAAAGAAAAGATATTAATTTAAATGTACAGTATAGTGCCTTGCTTTTGTGTACAGTTTCTATACCAAACACACACACTAGTCTGCATTTCAGAGACTTTCTTTGTGATAAACGAAATAGTGAATAAAGAAAGCAGATTAAAAGTCTTTGTTTTTTTTTGTCTAATTTTATGTAACTTTTTACTAATTCTAGAGACAACATAGGACAAATCAAAAAGTCGAATTTATGTTAAACATATTGAGAGGTATTTTTTACACTAATGTTTTATCAATATATTGGTCAACACAGAGATTTCAAACCATGTGTACTGTCATGTCAGATATTCATAATACTGGAAATTAGAACTATATTCTATTAAGAAAGAATTGAGAGCACATGATTGTTTCAAACTGATGGAGACACAAAATATATATATATTCTATTTAATCATACATATATTAAATCCAGTAGCTATTTTGTCTTTCCGGTGTTATAGATGCTAACAGGACCTGCTTAAATTGAGGGAATATATCTAAAAATATCATTATACTAAACATCTGTGAAACCTCATAAAAAAAGGTTTGTTTTAAAAATCAACCTTACTTAACTATGGACATTCTTGCAGGTTATATTTTTCCTTCTAAAGACTTTCATGTTTCTGTTTTTCTCTAACATCTGGTCAAACCACCTCCTCAGATAAAATATACATTTAATTTTTAAATTGTTCAATTTAAAAGTCAAAATGATTAATTTTCCCATTGTCAATAAGTTTAATATTAATAAATTTACACTGCAAATGTGGCACAGAAATGCTTCTTAAGTGGCATTTAGGGGCCAGTTGCATAAAAGGTTTAGACTAGTCTGACACGTTAGTCATCAAATTATTATTTTTTTAATTCAGTTACATAAAAGCATACAGTAATTAAGTTGAATCCCAAAATAAGACTGATTACCCCTTGGCTAACGGCTAGTTGGTCAAACTCATACTTATAACATTGTCTTAACATAGAGGCTAAGTTTATGCAACTGGCCCCTGGTGTCTTTACGCAGACTGTTTAATGCTGTTCAGAGGTGGCATAAATGCATTTACGGTTATATTTTTCCTTCTAAAGACTTTCATGTTTCTGTTTTTCTCTAACATCTGGTCAAACCACCTCCTCAGATAAAATATACATTTAATTTTTAAATTGTTCAATTTAAAAGTCAAAATGATTAACCCACCCATTGTCAATAAGTTTAATATTAATAAATTTACACTGCAAATGTGGCACAGAAATGCTTCTTAAGTGGCATTTAGGGGCCAGTTGCATAAAAGGTTTAGACTAGTCTGACACGTTAGTCATCAAATTTTTTTTTTTTAATTCAGTTACATAAAAGCATACAGTAATTAAGTTGAATCCCAAAATAAGACTGATTACCCCTTGGCTAACAGCTAGTTGGTCAAACTCATACTTATAACATTGTCTTAACATAGAGGCTAAGTTTATGCATCTGGCCCCTGGTGTCTTTACGCAGACTGTTTAGTTTAATGCTGTTCAGAGGTGGCATAAATGCATTTACACACCAATTACAAGTATACTTTGATACTAGGGTCTGTGCTGTGTCAGAGCAGGCACAGTTTAGTCTGGCTTTTACGCAGCATGGCGAGTTTACTCTGAATTTTGAGCAGACACCGCCTTAACAGCTGTGTAAAGACCCCTTATGTTGCGAAATGCGGTGAGTGAACGCTTTCAGTTTCAGTATAGACTACAGTTCGTGACATAAGCCCTGAAAGATGTTGCTCACTCAAGGTCTCAATTGAAATGAAAAGTGAAAGTATTTTCCTCCTCGGCATCATTTCAAGACAAACGCGCAGAACTACACAGCGATGCTACAGGTAGGCTAAATGTGCTACAGGCAAGACATTCTTGACTTTACAACTAATAATAATAATAATACAAATAATTTCCCAGTAGCCTATATTTCGTTTATTAAACATCTCCATCGACAAAGAGACGCGAAAAAGTTCTTCATAACGTTTAGAACAGTGCATTTTTTAATAAACTAATAATTACAATAACATTTAGCCTATATAGTAAATTTGCTCAACACAGATAAAAAGCGAAACTAATAAGCACCATGACTTCAAAAAAAATCTACCAACTCATGTACTTAAGCTCTTTTCAATTCATTTAATTCAAGAAACGCTTGTTGTCAGCCATAATTCAACATAACTATTACGATCATTTTACATACTCCAACGTTCGTGTGGATGTATATCTTCATTTTACCAGTTGTTCACGTGTAAAGATTACTGTTACTAAAGTAAAATCATAATAATATTTATACAGTATCGCATTCAAGAAGCTTTCCGACTCTTTCTGCCATTGTTTATAACAATGCTAGCTACTGCACGTTTAGTACGGTTTTACCCACGTGACATCTCTTTAAACTATGGTTACCATGGTCAGTTTTTTGTGAAGGAGGTACCAATGATTGTGATTGGTCACGTATTCATTGCTATATATTAAACTAATTTCGGGGTAAATGGCATTTCCAAGCAATGCTACCGGTACATACTGCTAAATTAGTACGTGAAACACAAAACATCAAATATTTCTTGCCTTTTCCCATAATTGACACTTACATGATATCTGCCTATTTTCCTCCGGTTCAGCTGGTCATTTCAGATTACAGGAGTGCACAGATATACTGAAGACAGCAGATGGATGTCTCTAATTATGGTAACTTACAGTCACACATGAAACTAGGCCAGTCAGATAATTGCTGAATGTCTCTAATTATGGTAACTTGCAGTCACACATGAAACTAGGCCAGTCAGATAATTGCTGATTCGCATGTAATATGGTTAAAAATAACATTAGTGATCTATCTTTTCTTTCCTTTCCCACAGAAGACAAAGGAGGAACTGTGGGGCCTCATAATGCTAAGGTCTCTAAAATCAGTATCACTGCCCAGAATAGAAGCAGTATTTCAGCACCTGTGATATTGAACTCAACAGTCACTGGAAATATTAACATTGCTAATAATTACTTCACAGGTGTGTGTGTGTGTGTGTGTAAGCATCTCTCTCTGTTGGTGGACGTAGCACAGCAAAACACAATTGTAATACAACTAATATATTGTTATTATACATATTGTAATATTTTGTTTTAACTTAAGTTTTATTGTTTCTGCTATAGGACCTGGAGCTGAAGTCACAGGTTTGTAAATGTCTACTTTAATTTACACTACCATGTGAAATTATTGCTCATATTTGAGAAAATGTGAAGTCGATAAAGTACATATTAGTACATAAGATAATGTTTTTGCAATGTTAATCCCATCGTTGTTAATTCCACATACATATGAAACATTAAAGTTGTTGTCAATAAAGTACAAAATGTTACTAGAAATGGACATGAAAAGCAATGAAACGTTACACTTTTTGTGATTATATTATATCAGAACTCAAGTTTTGTTTTTCATACTGTAGGGCCTGGAACTCAAATCATGGGTATGTAAATGTATTTGTTTATACTGCTTGGTGAAATAACCGTGATTAAAAATTGTAATAAGACAGCTGTGTAAACACATTTTTTTAACAGATACAAGCACATTGATCACAGAATACAAGAAGTCCCTGCTGTCCGAGTATGCCTACATTACAGAATACACCTCCCGTGCCGGTGAACAGGTGCTGCTTAATGATCGCTACACTGACCCGCTGATTATTCAGAAACACAGAGAAAAGAAAGAGCGAGAGACGGAGATGCGCTCTAGAGGGGAAAGATTCTTTAACACCAGAGAAACCAACCAGAGAAACCAAAACATCAGGCTTGATCAGCTTTTCGGCCCAGAGAATGGCTCCAAAAAAGTGCCTCGAAAAGCTGTAATTCTCCAAGGTGATTCTGGAAGTGGGAAATCAGTCACTGCGCAAAAGATCGTTCTGAACTGGGCCTCTGGAGAGCTCTACGCTGGATTCTTTGATGTAGCATTTCATCTTAGATGCAAAGAGCTCAACGGTCTCTCTGCTGAGATGAGCCTGCTGGATCTCCTAGACTGTAGTTTAACTCCAAATGAGATTGGTCAGATCTTAAAAGACATACCACAGAGGATCTTGTTCATCATTGATGGTTTTGATGAACTCATGCTTTCTGGAACCAAAGAGTCGCTGCCTCCAAAACCAGACATCAAATCCCATTCACAGGCCATTGTTTGCTCTCTTCTGAAAGGACGTATGATGAGAGAGTCCTTCCTGCTGGTTACTACGAGATCCACCGCTGTAGACAAACTGGAGAACGTTCTGAAAAAGCCACAGTGCTTTGTGGAGATCATGGGATTTTCCGAGAAAGGAGTGAGTGAATACTTCCGAAAGTTCTTTGAGGACGAAGAGTTTTCAAGTCAAGTGTACGAGCAGGTGAAGATACACGAGATGCTCTACACGGCTTGCTTCATCCCTGTCATCTGCTGGATTATCTGCACAATTTTCAAGAGAAAAGGGAAGGATGGTGTTGTAACTAGCGAGTTGACGACAACCACGTCCATATTTGTTGATTTTGTGCTCACACTCTTGAAACATCACAGTAGTTTGAATCAGCATGACGAGCTCAACCTCCTCAAGGACCTGGGTCAGCTAGCAGAGAGTGGAACACCAAAACGCCAAGTCCTTTTTTCCAGAAACAATCTTCCAAAGGCAATCTCAGATTTACCAAATATTCCCTTCCTGTGCACATTTCACCAGCAAGAGAGAACTTATCTGAAGGAGATGTTTGGGTTCTTGCACCTCAGCTTTCAGGAGTTCTTCACCGCTCTCTTCTACATGTTAACTGACAAGGCAGAGGCGAAAATAAAAGTCAAGCAGCTACTAGAATCAGCAGGCAATGGGAGGCGCAATGAGCATCTCTTACCTGTAATCCGGTTCCTTTTTGGTCTCTCGAACAAGAAAGTGAGCCGTTTAATCCCAGGAGAACATCCAAAGTCGACATCTACCGTTATTCGCGCACTGCTGGAGAAATGGATCAGCAAAGTTATAGAGAAGAACATCATGGATACATTTTACATGAGTGATTTCATTCTCCATTGTCTGTATGAGCTTCAAGATAGGGAAATACTGAAGAACGTCATGAAGCTGTGGGAACGCTCAGGTATTAACATCCACTGGTCTTTGAAGGGGGTCGATTGTCAGGTTGTGATGTACTGTCTCCAGTATTCCTCACGCATTATGAGTATGAAAGTCAAAAGCAATGCTAAAGATCTAAAGATGCTTCACCCTGTGCTTTGTAGGTGTACAACTCTATGGTAAGTGTTCTGCAATTACATGCAATCACAATGGGATTTATTTGGTATTTCAAAGAATGCCATCACAGTAGTGTCCAAAAAAATGTTGTTACCATTATATCATCTTATATGCCATGTATTCTCATTATTGTTCTCTTTACTATATAAGAGGTTTGGTTTGCAACATTTAAAAAACTGATTTTGTTTATTTATTTATTTGTAGGTTGGGTTTTGATTCAATATCTGACGCTAATGTTGACCTCCTGACATCAGCCCTGGGGAGAAGAAAGAACGTGGGCTATTTGACGTAATGTTCTCTTGGTTGTGAATTCTATGCTATCCTGCTTATATTTGTAAATGCAACAATGCCAAAGTTCTCTCAAAAATGAGTTTAGACACTAAATGGCCTGGTCAAACCATAATCTGGTAACTAATTCAACTGCTGCAGTGTTGTTATAGATATTATGTTGTATATTATATGGTTATAGACCATAAATCCATGTTTTACTATTATAAATGATAGTAAAGAAGACAGTATGGAGAAGCGACCTATGTTCTTATGCTACATCACGATTAGTGAAGCAGTGTTGTGAATGCATTGCAGTATGGAGGATGGAGCCCTGTCAGATGAAAGTGTGCAGAAGATCCTGAAAACCCTCAGTGGACAAACATCAGTGGGTAACATTCGGCTGGTGGTGAGGAGCATCAGCAACGCCAATGTCGATTTAACCATGAACTTTCTTGTAAAAGAGAAGATGGGAAGAAGGTTCAGGTAAACCAAACTCAATGACAAACACAAACAGGCAGCTGACAACATGTGAACATCAAGGTTTCTGGTTTAAATGTATGTAAATATAGGCAAATTTGTACATAAAAATTGGGAACATATGCATACGTTTACATAAAGTAAAGCTTTATTTATATAGCACCTTTTAAAAAGTGTTTACAAAGTGCATTCACAGAAAAAAACCATACACGCGCAATATTAAAAAGATAAAACAAAATACAACAAAGTAAATCATTGTCAGAAGGGGAGAAAATATCACGCACGTGCTTTGTAGATGTTTCTAAGGTGATAATATGCTGTTTTAGTATGTTTTTTTAAAAACTACGGTCGCTATCAAACATGATTCCTAAGTTCTTGACCTGATCACTGGCTTTTAGTGATAGAGAGTCAAGATATGGAACAATAGATGTTCTCTGGGCGTCATTACCATAACAAATACCTTTGTCTCACTTTATTTAGATATAGCAAGAAAATGTATTTTAAATGCTGTAACTGATCACAACATTTCACAACTTTTGGCATATTTTTGTATAAATATTCCATATAGCCTCTCAATTAATGTGAGGTGATTAAACTACATGCGTTATAATTATAAAAGAGTAGAAGAATGCGTTATCATTTTTAGATGGATTGTGTAGACATGCCCAAAAACAAGCATACACACAATTTTTTACATCTGAAACCAGGTCTTTTAGATTAATCTTGATTTCATTTGATTTCACAGTGTATGTATTGCCAGTCAAGCAGAAAACATAGACAAGAGTCTTTGCTCAGAGTTCACTATTGCAAGCAAAAACGATTCCTTCTGGTAATTGAATTCATATTTCATATTCGTTCATTAATTCATTCTCAGTTAATATTTCTTTAATTTATTCACAAAAAATATTACATTGTGTAACTAAAATATGCCCTTGAAGATACATTTGAAAATAATGAATAATTGCTCTTCCTCATTTCAGGTTTACTGTTGGGCACTCAGAAGGGCATCAGGGTGAAATCTCAGAAAAACTTGGTCTTTGTTATTATCAGGGTTTTTCAAAAATATCCTTTGGTCTTTGTCCTTTCTCTGCAATATCCATGACTGATTTACTCAAGACATCACATAACCTCAGGAGCTTCTCAGACATGTAGGTCTTCTCAATTTATTTAGCAATTCTGCTATTATCCCAATATTTAATATTATAATCTGCTAATATTTGTGTATTTGTTCCCAGGAAAAACACTGAGTTTGATATGAATGTGGATGCACTGCTGTCTTTCCTAAGTTGTGTTCCTGGTTTAACTGAGGTGGACATACAAGCTGAGTACCTCACAGATATTTGGACTTCTAAAATTCTGTCCTACCTTCAAGTCAATCCAAAGATTTCTCACATAAAGTAAGAGAAAATAATACTGCTTGTATATTAGGCTGTAATCTCTCAGTAAATTTACAGCTGATTTACATTTTGATTTCTTTGGCTGTACATTTATTTCTTAAATTAAGTTCACTAATTCAGACTGATTTGTTTTTTAACACATTTATGACCTTTTAGGCTTCATTTGAGCAATCTCATGATTCGTGATGAGGAAAGGGTCTGTTCAACATTTTCAGTCTCTAGAAAGCCATTTGAAGAGTAAGTCATGGTTTCTTTTTTTTACTTTCACTTGATTTGTCGGTGGTTGCGTTAACTAACTGTTGGTCAAATCTATTGCAGGTACAAGATGCACGTCAGTGAAAGGAAAAATCCATCATTGAGTCTTGTAATGGACAGATGGGCTTATGATATAGCGTTAGAACTCATGCATGAGATATCCTGTCATTTAATTATTTTATTAAGTTTATTTTAAATTCAAGACAAAGAAATGTAAATTCATAACCATTTTAAATCCTACTGTGTGCACATTTACTGTATGAATATGAATGTTTCTTTCCAGATCTGGTAGCAATGGAGAGTTGGTACATTCATATCGACTGGACAAACCGGCACTGGTGAAGCTCAGCCTCAGTTTCCCTCCTCTTGAAGGGTCTAGTGCCAGTTGGGAGGTTCTTTTCAAAAGGCTTTACCAACTCATTCAATTGACAGAACAGTGAGTTGAATTAATTAAACTGACTTCAGTCATAGTTATGTTTCATAGTCAAAACTTGAAAATTCTGAACTACCTTTATAACATTAAGTCACAGTTTTCAATATGAGCATCAATATCAGTATGCTTCATACAGGGTGATGAATACAAGAATGCATTGTTTGGTTCAGTGGCCAGGGGAGAGTCTAATAATAATCTAATACATGGATTTTTTTCATTAGATGCCCAGAGTTGGATGAGCATATGGATTCTCTGCTGCTGTTCCTTCATTCTGTTCCCGGTCTGAAGGAAGTAAAAGTTTGGCTAAACAACCTGATTGAGAGCTGGGCGGCTGGTCTGTTCACCCTCTTCCTGTCTTGTTCCAGCTTACTTCACTTGCAGTAAGAATAACCTGATGCGTACAAAATGTTCAAAGACGTACCATGATGCAAATACCATTTTATATTAATATGGTAGACATTCAGTACCATGGTATACAGTCATTTGAAGTGGATCAAAAAAGTTAATCAAAGTTGTCCTAAGACAAGAACAGGTATTGTTTTGGTTTTAGGACAACTTTGATGAAAGGTTTTGATCCACTTCAAATGTTGACTATACTGTATATCATAGTATCATGTTACCATCTGATGCCATGGTACTGCCGCAATGCATTTGTAAGGAAGTGGTTGTATCTTCTTTCTGTACCTAAAACTAAACTCAATAAATTCTCTTTTGGCAGACTGAATACCGATATGTCTGCTGTTAGTGATGTGGAGAGTCTGGGTATAATGAGAGCTGATGGAGTGAGGTAAGATATTATCTACTATAAACTCCAGTGTGCTTCAGATCTTAAAAGACATACCACAGAGGATCTTGTTCATCATTGATGGTTTTGATGAACTCATGCTTTCTGGAACCAAAGAGTCGCTGCCTCCAAAACCAGACATCAAATCCCATTCACAGGCCATTGTTTGCTCTCTTCTGAAAGGACGTATGATGAGAGAGTCCTTCCTGCTGGTTACTACGAGATCCACCGCTGTAGACAAACTGGAGAACGTTCTGAAAAAGCCACAGTGCTTTGTGGAGATCATGGGATTTTCCGAGAAAGGAGTGAGTGAATACTTCCGAAAGTTCTTTGAGGACGAAGAGTTTTCAAGTCAAGTGTACGAGCAGGTGAAGATACACGAGATGCTCTACACGGCTTGCTTCATCCCTGTCATCTGCTGGATTATCTGCACAATTTTCAAGAGAAAAGGGAAGGATGGTGTTGTAACTAGCGAATTGACGACAACCACGTCCATATTTGTTGATTTTGTGCTCACACTCTTGAAACATCACAGTAGTTTGAATCAGCATGACGAGCTCAACCTCCTCAAGGACCTGGGTCAGCTAGCAGAGAGTGGAACACCAAAACGCCAAGTCCTTTTTTCCAGAAACAATCTTCCAAAGGCAATCTCAGATTTACCAAATATTCCCTTCCTGTGCACATTTCACCAGCAAGAGAGAACTTATCTGAAGGAGATGTTTGGGTTCTTGCACCTCAGCTTTCAGGAGTTCTTCACCGCTCTCTTCTACATGTTAACTGACAAGGCAGAGGCGAAAATAAAAGTCAAGCAGCTACTAGAATCAGCAGGCAATGGGAGGCGCAATGAGCATCTCTTACCTGTAATCCGGTTCCTTTTTGGTCTCTCGAACAAGAAAGTGAGCCGTTTAATCCCAGGAGAACATCCAAAGTCGACATCTACCGTTATTCGCGCACTGCTGGAGAAATGGATCAGCAAAGTTATAGAGAAGAACATCATGGATACATTTTACATGAGTGATTTCATTCTCCATTGTCTGTATGAGCTTCAAGATAGGGAAATACTGAAGAACGTCATGAAGCTGTGGGAACGCTCAGGTATTAACATCCACTGGTCTTTGAAGGGGGTCGATTGTCAGGTTGTGATGTACTGTCTCCAGTATTCCTCACGCATTATGAGTATGAAAGTCAAAAGCAATGCTAAAGATCTAAAGATGCTTCACCCTGTGCTTTGTAGGTGTACAACTCTATGGTAAGTGTTCTGCAATTACATGCAATCACAATGGGATTTATTTGGTATTTCAAAGAATGCCATCACAGTAGTGTCCAAAAAAATGTTGTTACCATTATATCATCTTATATGCCATGTATTCTCATTATTGTTCTCTTTACTATATAAGAGGTTTGGTTTGCAACATTTAAAAAACTGATTTTGTTTATTTATTTATTTGTAGGTTGGGTTTTGATTCAATATCTGACGCTAATGTTGACCTCCTGACATCAGCCCTGGGGAGAAGAAAGAACGTGGGCTATTTGACGTAATGTTCTCTTGGTTGTGAATTCTATGCTATCCTGCTTATATTTGTAAATGCAACAATGCCAAAGTTCTCTCAAAAATGAGTTTAGACACTAAATGGCCTGGTCAAACCATAATCTGGTAACTAATTCAACTGCTGCAGTGTTGTTATAGATATTATGTTGTATATTATATGGTTATAGACCATAAATCCATGTTTTACTATTATAAATGATAGTAAAGAAGACAGTATGGAGAAGCGACCTATGTTCTTATGCTACATCACGATTAGTGAAGCAGTGTTGTGAATGCATTGCAGTATGGAGGATGGAGCCCTGTCAGATGAAAGTGTGCAGAAGATCCTGAAAACCCTCAGTGGACAAACATCAGTGGGTAACATTCGGCTGGTGGTGAGGAGCATCAGCAACGCCAATGTCGATTTAACCATGAACTTTCTTGTAAAAGAGAAGATGGGAAGAAGGTTCAGGTAAACCAAACTCAATGACAAACACAAACAGGCAGCTGACAACATGTGAACATCAAGGTTTCTGGTTTAAATGTATGTAAATATAGGCAAATTTGTACATAAAAATTGGGAACATATGCATACGTTTACATAAAGTAAAGCTTTATTTATATAGCACCTTTTAAAAAGTGTTTACAAAGTGCATTCACAGAAAAAAACCATACACGCGCAATATTAAAAAGATAAAACAAAATACAACAAAGTAAATCATTGTCAGAAGGGGAGAAAATATCACGCACGTGCTTTGTAGATGTTTCTAAGGTGATAATATGCTGTTTTAGTATGTTTTTTTAAAAACTACGGTCGCTATCAAACATGATTCCTAAGTTCTTGACCTGATCACTGGCTTTTAGTGATAGAGAGTCAAGATATGGAACAATAGATGTTCTCTGGGCGTCATTACCATAACAAATACCTTTGTCTCACTTTATTTAGATATAGCAAGAAAATGTATTTTAAATGCTGTAACTGATCACAACATTTCACAACTTTTGGCATATTTTTGTATAAATATTCCATATAGCCTCTCAATTAATATGAGGTGATTAAACTACATGCGTTATAATTATAAAAGAGTAGAAGAATGCGTTATCATTTTTAGATGGATTGTGTAGACATGCCCAAAAACAAGCATACACACAATTTTTTACATCTGAAACCAGGTCTTTTAGATTAATCTTGATTTCATTTGATTTCACAGTGTATGTATTGCCAGTCAAGCAGAAAACATAGACAAGAGTCTTTGCTCAGAGTTCACTATTGCAAGCAAAAACGATTCCTTCTGGTAATTGAATTCATATTTCATATTCGTTCATTAATTCATTCTCAGTTAATATTTCTTTAATTTATTCACAAAAAATATTACATTGTGTAACTAAAATATGCCCTTGAAGATACATTTGAAAATAATGAATAATTGCTCTTCCTCATTTCAGGTTTACTGTTGGGCACTCAGAAGGGCATCAGGGTGAAATCTCAGAAAAACTTGGTCTTTGTTATTATCAGGGTTTTTCAAAAATATCCTTTGGTCTTTGTCCTTTCTCTGCAATATCCATGACTGATTTACTCAAGACATCACATAACCTCAGGAGCTTCTCAGACATGTAGGTCTTCTCAATTTATTTAGCAATTCTGCTATTATCCCAATATTTAATATTATAATCTGCTAATATTTGTGTATTTGTTCCCAGGAAAAACACTGAGTTTGATATGAATGTGGATGCACTGCTGTCTTTCCTAAGTTGTGTTCCTGGTTTAACTGAGGTGGACATACAAGCTGAGTACCTCACAGATATTTGGACTTCTAAAATTCTGTCCTACCTTCAAGTCAATCCAAAGATTTCTCACATAAAGTAAGAGAAAATAATACTGCTTGTATATTAGGCTGTAATCTCTCAGTAAATTTACAGCTGATTTACATTTTGATTTCTTTGGCTGTACATTTATTTCTTAAATTAAGTTCACTAATTCAGACTGATTTGTTTTTTAACACATTTATGACCTTTTAGGCTTCATTTGAGCAATCTCATGATTCGTGATGAGGAAAGGGTCTGTTCAACATTTTCAGTCTCTAGAAAGCCATTTGAAGAGTAAGTCATGGTTTCTTTTTTTTACTTTCACTTGATTTGTCGGTGGTTGCGTTAACTAACTGTTGGTCAAATCTATTGCAGGTACAAGATGCACGTCAGTGAAAGGAAAAATCCATCATTGAGTCTTGTAATGGACAGATGGGCTTATGATATAGCGTTAGAACTCATGCATGAGATATCCTGTCATTTAATTATTTTATTAAGTTTATTTTAAATTCAAGACAAAGAAATGTAAATTCATAACCATTTTAAATCCTACTGTGTGCACATTTACTGTATGAATATGAATGTTTCTTTCCAGATCTGGTAGCAATGGAGAGTTGGTACATTCATATCGACTGGACAAACCGGCACTGGTGAAGCTCAGCCTCAGTTTCCCTCCTCTTGAAGGGTCTAGTGCCAGTTGGGAGGTTCTTTTCAAAAGGCTTTACCAACTCATTCAATTGACAGAACAGTGAGTTGAATTAATTAAACTGACTTCAGTCATAGTTATGTTTCAAAGTCAAAACTTGAAAATTCTGAACTACCTTTATAACATTAAGTCACAGTTTTCAATATGAGCATCAATATCAGTATGCTTCATACAGGGTGATGAATACAAGAATGCATTGTTTGGTTCAGTGGCCAGGGGAGAGTCTAATAATAATCTAATACATGGATTTTTTTCATTAGATGCCCAGAGTTGGATGAGCATATGGATTCTCTGCTGCTGTTCCTTCATTCTGTTCCCGGTCTGAAGGAAGTAAAAGTTTGGCTAAACAACCTGATTGAGAGCTGGGCGGCTGGTCTGTTCACCCTCTTCCTGTCTTGTTCCAGCTTACTTCACTTGCAGTAAGAATAACCTGATGCGTACAAAATGTTCAAAGACGTACCATGATGCAAATACCATTTTATATTAATATGGTAGACATTCAGTACCATGGTATACAGTCATTTGAAGTGGATCAAAAAAGTTAATCAAAGTTGTCCTAAGACAAGAACAGGTATTGTTTTGGTTTTAGGACAACTTTGATGAAAGGTTTTGATCCACTTCAAATGTTGACTATACTGTATATCATAGTATCATGTTACCATCTGATGCCATGGTACTGCCGCAATGCATTTGTAAGGAAGTGGTTGTATCTTCTTTCTGTACCTAAAACTAAACTCAATAAATTCTCTTTTGGCAGACTGAATACCGATATGTCTGCTGTTAGTGATGTGGAGAGTCTGGGTATAATGAGAGCTGATGGAGTGAGGTAAGATATTATCTACTATAAACTCCAGTGTGCTGTACTATCCAGTAACATTCGCTTAGATTTATAATTGACATTTAAGGCTGGAATACTCTACACACGTTTGTACAGATTTTTGCCCCATTTTGTAGTCTAGATTCGATGCTACACTGAAAAAAAAAATGGTGTAGAAACAGTTTTCACTCAGAAATTGCTAGTAAATTTCACAACAATTACAAAGAAATGGCAAGTAACATTAAAATAAACATGACATTTTGAAGCAGTATTTGCTTGTAAAACATACTCCAGTAATTTATTTTAGGATTTATTTACAGTTTTTAGAGTGTAGTTGCAGAAAGTCAGAGCCAGTATGCTGATTTTGGGCAGTCGAAGTTGACAGATTCCACAGAAAATTATGTATGATGGTCATGTTTTTTGTTTTTTAGAAAGTCTGGTAGTGTCTGTGTATACAGTGTACGGTGCCTAGTGTTTTAAAATCTGTTCCAATTTGAAAAGTTGTGTAATGTATTCCAGCATTTATTCCAGTTGTCTGTATTTTCCTTGATCTTTTTGGAATACTTTATAAGGTTATGATTTTGCCTTAGATACTGGGAAAAAAGCAACTGCTATAATAATATCACTAGCTGTCCAGCAAGTCTGGAAATTCTGAGAAAATACAATTGCTTAAACTCTTCTCGTGGTTTTAATGTTTTTAGCAGCAGTTGTCCTCTGTTGTTTTGCAGGCTCTCTGTCGGCTGTAACCATCTGAATTATATAGATGGCTGCTGTGATATCAACCCCTTTGAACCTCCAGTGCACAAAGTGCTTCCCTGTGTCAGCATCACTTTGACAGATGACTCTGAGAATGCAAATGCTGACTGGAGGAGATTCTTTCAGGCCTACAACCAGCTGAAAGACTTGACTGAGTTGTAAGTCAATGTTTTCACCAAAGAGAGTGTTTGTATGAATCTGATTGTTAAATGGGGAGAATGACAGATAAATAAGCAGTGTTTTAGTTCAAAAGGATACAAAAATCTGTGTTTCTGTGTTTTTTACAGTTCTTTGGAATATGATGAGAGTGTGAGAGATCTGCTCTCTGTCCTGCACTCGGTCTCTGGTCTGAAGGAATTGGATCTTGTCTTCAGATTCATGACTGTGGATGGAGCATCCAGAGTCCTTAACCTCTTTCAGACAAACACCAGTCTGACTACATTAAAGTGAGAATTCACTTCACTCTTATTTACACAGTACACATAACTGGGTGTTTGCAGTCTCTCAGAACAAACACAGTGACTTAGTATATGCACAATGAACCCTTTCAGAATTGAATTTCACGATGACAAAATATCATATTATTTTTGTGGCTTAGTTTTGGGGCAGTCGAGCGGCCTGAGATAAGTAAGGCGAACTTCAAGAAGGACCACAGGAATGAATTCTTCAGGTAAAGCAGTAGTGATTCCTGTATTCTAGATGATCCATGAAGACTAACTAAAGCTTTATTAAAGAACACATTTAAATTAGAGCATATAGAGAGAGAGAGAGAGAGAGAGAGAGCAGAAGAACTAACTCCATCCCATTACTCGTCATCCAGCGCCCTCTAGTGATGCTATTAAACAATAACATTATTAGTGCTTAACAAAATACACCACATAACTTTTAATTAATAACAGGTCATTAACAAACATGCTTAACGGATTTGTAGTTTTGTGAGCATTCGAGTATGAACATATAATATAATAAATATAATATAATATAATATATGAATAAAAAGTTTTATGACATTTCCAGCCATTTGAACTATTATAAACTAGATATGTTAAGCTTTATATAATGTAAGATGATGAAGTTTAGATACAAATCTGACAGTTGAACTGTCACTGTCACAATGTTCTTTCTGTTTCAGATTTCACTCTGCTTTTATTAACTCTTAAATGTAGTTATGTTTGTGGTTGTTTTTCAGTGTCCATAGGATGAGTGAGAGTAAAGAGAGTGATTTAGACAGACTGAGTGGTGTTTGGCGGGATGACAGTTTTTACTCAAGTCTCTTATTGGGTTTTAAACACTGCTCATAACCCGTTTTACTTACATAATCTGACGTGGTATTTCCGAGTGAAACAAAATATAGCCTGGGACTTGATTTTATTGATTGTAAAAAGTGGGCATTACATACCAGAAAGAGTGAGGTTGTTGAAGGAGATGGGATAAAGTAAAAAGGGATCTGCGATGTCATCTGAAAAGAAAAAAAAAAGTTTATTAAAAATAAACATGGCATGGTTTATGAAAATATTCACAGGTCTCAGTCTGCAGGACAGATGTCAGATGACAGTGATGAAGATGGCACGTCCTCACCTCTCAGTGACTGCAGCGATGAAATCAAGTGAGAAACATAAACTGTTAAAATCATTACTTTCCCCTATAACACCATACTGTGATCAGTTTCGTCTGCTAAGAAACTTAATAGAGGCTATGTGTTTTTCAGCCAAAGTGATTCTTATGAACTGGACAGTGTGGAGCGTATTGTCTGCTCGGATCTCAGGATGTGGAGGAGATTATCAGGGCAATGCAGGTAACATAAACTGTTCAACAGAATGTTTTTTGGTGAGATGAGCCTATTTAGAACAAGTAAGATCAGAGGCAGTAAAGTGTTAACAGTAATCAAAAGTCCATAATATATTCTCCAACATTTGTGTAGCAAATACGATCATTTTATTTAACTGTTTTATGAATCTTTGTGTACAAACAGTGTGGTATTTGTTAGGCCAACTCCATTTTTGTTTGTATTTCAGCTTGTTTTTGAAGTGTGCCAGCTCCAGTCCCAGGACAAAGTCACTGTTCTCAAGCATAGAGCTCACCCTGTCTGAAAACTCAGAAAAAACTAGCAGTGACTGGAAAAACTTTCTTAAAGCATATATTCAATGCAAAGGGATCTCTATAATGTAAAAATAATCATTGAATATTTTGGTATTCACCATGAAACTGAATATTAAATAATATTTCTGTTAATAATTTTCCATGTAATAACAGAAGTCCTACATTTGACGAGACTGTGGATGATCTGCTGTTGTCCCTGCACTCAGTGTCTGCTGTGAACAAGGTGCAATTGACGACCGACAGCCTGACTGAGAACTTGGCTGCAAAGATCCTCTCTATGTGTCACACATGTCCCAGTCTCCATAACATCTGGTATGATAAACTAAAGAGACTCAACCAGATAATTATTTTTGTGTTCCACATGGAAGAAGATTTAAAGCATCCTTGTTTAAAATTACAAGTATAATGACGTTTGTGATGACCAATTTCTTTTAAATAAGCAAAGGTTGTATTATATCGAATTTAAAAATATAGGTTGTTTGCAGGATTCAGGCTATTTGACTGGAAATCAGTAGATCAAAATTATTTATCATATTTTAACATTATATCATTTTTGTTATTTTATTCTCTTATACTGGAAGATTAACTTAAAGCAGGCAATGATCAGATATTAAAGTACATTAAAGTGTACATTTTTAAAATATCAGCCTGTCAGTTTGCAGGTGGAGTACAGTAAGAGATACAGTGAGCTCAATGTGTGTTCCTCTCTCAGCATCACCAGAAACACAGACTCCACGTAAGTTTATCCTTGACTGTACTGGTCGTAAAGAAATTACACAGATTTCTAATATAACCATAGAAAAATTAACTCGTTGTCTTTTATTTCAAGCTTGACAGTCGACATTCAGTTGGCCCGTGACAGCATGACTGAAATATCTCCATCATTCATTTCATTCATATCACCATGTTCAGAGATTCCTAAACTGGATGGAAGGGAACTCTTTGAAACTCTTGACATCCTTAAAGGTTTAGAAGAAGGGTAAGGATTCTGCCATTTCATTATTTACCTGAAAATTAATTGTTTGCTTATAGTTAAACACCTATGTTTCTTTATTTGAAAATGTGCACTGTACATATTCATAATTTGTCATTAGTAAACCCAATTTCAATCAAGTCGTCTAATTATTTTGCCCAAAATCTAGATGTGAAGAGCATGAAGAGCTTGTGGGTGATTTGATGTCCACCTTGCTCTCCGTTCCTGGTCTGCAGAAGGTCAGACTCAAGATCAGCAATCTAACAGAGAACTGGGTGAAGAGGAGTCTGTCCTTAACTGAAGTCTGTCCCAGTCTTCAGGAGATCAGGTATGAGGATGTTCAAATTGTTATTGGTCCTTGAATGTACTTTAAGTATTCTTTAAGAATTCCTTTAGAATCTAAACTGAAAATATATCCATTTGTTAATGTTTCAGATATGACTTCATAAAAAGTGGTGGCTTGTTGTTGGAGGATGTTGTGAGGATTCTACAGAGCTCTCAGACCACAGGGTTTGTCCTATAATCTTATTTAACCATTTATTAACGAATTGCACCTTGAATATTAATTGTTTTAGCAGCTGTCGTTCCTTCTCTTTAAAGAATTAAGTGCAGTAACGCAACAGATGGGTGCACTGAAATGGACACATCCAGATCATCATCTGCCTGCAATGAGAATCTGAAAATCACTTTCTGCAAGAACTCTCTTTCAAGACTATTCACAACACATGAAATTGACGAAGATGACAACAACAACACTGAGGATGATGAAGACTTTTTCCTGCTTTAGGAAGGACTGTTGAATACTGTTTTATCAAAAACATTGACAAACTTACTACAATCTTTCTATTTTCTAAATGAAATTTTTTGTTTGTTTAAAAAAAAAGAAAAAAAAAAAACAACAATACTACAGCGTGAATAAAAGTTATGCCTTCTTTCTTTGTGTGAACATTTGGGCGGTGTTATGCAAATCTTCCCACATCGTGATGTAGATGTTGGGGGCATGTTAGAACGAGCCGTTTTAGGTAGGCGTGGTTGACTCTTAACTTTTATAAAGAATATCTCTTTGGATTTGAGACTGTAGTCTTTGCAACTTTACAGATCTTCTTTATGCACCAAGAGCTTGTAACACGCCATATGACCCCTTTAACATAGTCATAGTTAAACATATAATGCTGTAAAATAAAACGATATACAATTATATGAAAATAATATCTATAATAGTATGAAATGTTTTAATAAGTTATGACATTTGTTTGTAATGTTATGTTATATTTATTGTTCATTGACCGCTGCTTATGCTGTGACTATGCGGTCAGTTAAGCAAGAACACAGCACATCTCAATTCTCATAAGGATGCATTCTGTGTTCTCGCGTCCTTCCGAGTTCGTTCTTCCAAGGAAGCTTGACAAGACTGGTCTCCACAAGAACGCAAGTCCGTTCTTTGCGTTCTTGGAATTGAGAAACAGCCATACACTTCATTTTCCTGGGAAATGAGGGCACATTTGACGTCGCTTTCGAATTACGTCAGCCTTCATCGCGCAACGGTGACGCAATCGGTCTTGGAATGCGGTCTTTGGAGGGTGCATCCTGAATTGGCACAGCTTACTTCGTGACACTGTGACGCAATCGCACTTCAAATGCGCACTTTGGAGTCTGCACACTTCAGTTTGGGACGGGTCCTTCGAAGGATGCGGTCTTTGAATTGGGACGCAGCTGTAATTCGCGTGCAGTGTATCTGGTTGCCATGACAACCTCACGCGCTTCCTGCTGCTGCTCTATGTAATCCAGAGTGTGAATTTGTAGATTTTCTATAGCAAAACTAAAATATATATTATATATATTTTATAGCCCCCCCTATAACTCGAAGACATCTCTGAACCTCACGCGCTTCCTGCTGCTGCTCTATGTAATCCAGAGTGTGAATTTGTAGATTTTCTATAGCAAAACTAAAATATATATTATATATATTTTATAGCCCCCCCCTATAACTCGAAGACATCTCTGATTTGACAGTTTACCATCTGATCTCACTCAGTGACTAGGCTACGTAGGAGTCGGACCAGAGCCTTTGAGAAACAGCATGGTTTCTCAACGGCTCTGCGTAGGACGGGACGAAACCATGCAGTGAATGGGGGGGGGAGATAATTTTGCGGGAAATGCAGAAATAAGCCGTAATTTTTTATTTGTAACTCTTTGGTAGATACATTTATAATTTCTATTACAGTACTACTACTACTGTTACTACTAATAAAACAGAACTCTGGGGGCCCCAAAAGTGCTTGGGCCCTTAGAATCGTCCTAACTCCCCCCCCTTTGCGGCACCCCTGGTTATAGGATCGTGTCTTCAAGTTCAAATTCCTGTAATTCAAGACTCATTCCTTTAAATTCCAGTTTGTTCAGTTTCAACTTAAAGTTGAGCCTTTTTAAGGAAAGAACAGCACTGTCTGGCTGAAGAGGAACAAGAGCAGTACAGCAGACTGAGAGGGTTTTATTGCACCATATACAAAACAGCAGTCATATCTCCAGAGCCTGCTAAGATATACTTCTGTGGGAGGATCAGGTAGAGTAACCTTTATTTGACCTTACCCTAATTTGATAAGATGATCATGGCAAACGTCTCTTATATTGAACTGTCTGGTCTCTTATATACTCTGAACTTCATGTTTCATTATTGTATACATCAACAGAAATAAATGTTACAAACTAACAGGCTCAGGGCAGCATAACATAAATGGGGAGGCCACGCACAAAGCAAGTTAACTCAAAATAAACATTTATTAAATTAATTTATACTAAAGATAAACCTGAAAAGGGGAGATAAAAGAAAACAACAAAAAATAAAGTATTAAAAAAACTCAAAATCTGGTGCTGGAGAGAAGTCAAGCTCAAACGGGGCACACCACGCTGGAGGACAGAGATCCTTTAATCGGTCACCTGCCGCTTGTCTCCACCCTGCAAACAGACAAAGGAAAAACAACACATGCGCCCTCTGGCGACCAAAGGACACAACAAAAAGTGCAAATGAAAACAACGAGGAGGACAGAATACCATAACATAAATAAGAAATCATGACTGTATGATGTTGTTGTTCTCTTGATATTCATTTATGCTTTTTTTTTTTTTTTTTTTTACTGGCCCGGTTTAAATTTTTACTTGCCTGACAACATTTTCACTGTTTCCTTGTTTTTGACCCATGACCCATGTAATCTTGTATTTGAATAAATTAGCTTATTATGACATCAACATTTTAGATATAAATACAATTTAACAATTCTCGATTCAGATTTTGACACAACAGCAAAAACTACTAGCCTAATATAAAGTTCAAACATAAGTGAACAGTCAAGTAAATAGAGAACAGCAAAGGGATAAAGACCTAGAGAAAGTCTGCGGTACTAAATAATATAAAAATAATTTAAGTTAGTGTTTTAATAGGTGACTTCTGCGATGTTATTTTTGTGTTTTGGGTGGTGCAGTTCCTCTACTTAAAATGTGCAGTGACAAATGTGTCAGTTGAGCAACAAGATCAAATTACATCTCAGTTCCAACAAAGAGTTCATTCTTTCAAGGTAGAGCTGGCAAGACCGGTCTCCGTAAGTCCTTTCTTTGCATTCTTAGAATTGCGAAAAAGCTTAAAGTATATAATACAGACAGTCACTCACACAGAGAGATTGCACATCGTACGTACAAACATTCAGGAGCACAGAAACTTCTTGTCAATGCTGCCCCGCAACTTTTATTATCAAAAAGCCTTACTTCGCTCAGTGGCAGCTCGTCGGGGGAGGCACAGCTTCCCCAAAATACCTAATATAGGTACCCCCTGGATCTTGTGTTCTCGGGAGGCCAGGGTAGAGCTGAGCTCTTGTGCCTCCGTTGGTAAAAAAAAAAATTAGCCAATCAGCATCGAGTGTTCACTTTCAGCGCTGAGGAGTGTTGAGAAAAGAAACCTCGCAGGGGAGGCTAGCCTCCCTTCTGATATCAACCAATCATCATAGAGACGTAAATTACGTGATTTTAGTTTGAACGTCTCCCGCTGCACTGATAATGTACCAAGTACTTATGAGTAGCGATATTGAATATTTGATCGCCAACAGATTTACCAAGCTGTCATTCAAACAGTATATATACAAATTAAAAATAAAGGGAGAACACGCCTAAGCTGGATATAGGCTAATGTTACAGCAGTCGGGTCTTTTAAAGGGGTCATATGATGCGATTTCAAGTTTTCCTTTCTCTTTGGAATGTTATAAGCTGTTCGTGAATAGATAAGATCCCTAAAGTTGCAAAGACTAAAGTCTCAAACCCAAAGAGATATTCTTTATAAAAGTAAAGACTGGTCCACGCCCTCCTAAAATGCCTCGTTTAAACACGCCCCCACATGTCTACGTCACTGTGTGGGAAGATTTGCATAACGCCGCCCAAATGTTCACGCAAAGAAAAAGGCGTAACTTTATTGTTGCTGCCACCGCTGCTGCCATGTTGTGAAGACGCTGTGTGTTTCATTGAGAAAGTGAAAATACTTTGTTTGGCCTTCCAAAAGAGGACACAACTAGAAATCAGTGGTTAAGTTGAATTTACAACACTGTTCCAGAACAGTTCAACCCAAATATTCAGATGTGTGCAGCGCAATGTACAGTATGTGGAAAATAATGTTTTTTGAACCTTAAACCGCATAAACAGATTTGATTTACACCAAATACACCAAATAATGTTATTTTTAGCAACATCATATGACCCCTTTAACACAGACTTTTAAGAAGGGATGGATGTTTGCTTCAAGTGATAGGCCAGGTAAGTGAAATTAATTATGTTATCTTGCTGTATGTGTGTCGTTTTCTTTACGTTTTCTGACTAAAAGCAACCAAAAAGCCATTTTAAAGTGGTTAAGCAAATAATAATAATGATAATAACAATAATAATAATCAGCATTCGGCAGGGATCCCCAGACCAATACAATTAGTGTGCCTCCTCTATTTTAAA